TCGGTCGGTTAGATCTTCACGTCTCAGAATCGATCGTTTTAGCGTTTCGTTGGAAAGATATATTTGATACGTTATCAATATATTGAGAAGCGGTTGATCTAATCTGACTAGTGAACATGGGAGCTGTTTCCCATGCTGTGCTGTAACGTGATCTGGTGCGGATGCATGACCAAACGCCTTCAGCTGAACAAGTCCACTTAAAACAATGCGGTCAGCATCCAATGTCGAACAGTTAAAGAGCTATTGATTTTTGGGAATTATCTACAGCTACATTACCTTACATTATTTTCCCATCGCAAATCTCAGCAAGCATCTTCCTTTCAGTCCTCTACGTAAGAGTCAGTGCCAGTAATAGAATGAGGGGTAAAAGGACATGAATACCTGTGAAAGTGCTGCAAACTGGTGGACGAAAGTACGTCGGTGAGTCATGCTCTGTTTGGTTATCAAATGCTTATTCAGATGCTTCTTCAGCCATACCAAAGTCAAAGCATGAAGTAAAGTATACATCAAAGGATAAACTTACGAGTATAACCAATCAAACTTAAAGAGTACACCCAGTGTTTTTGAGACAACGACATGTAGAAAACCATACAATTAAATATATCAAATGTTCAATTTTCACGAGTTTTCGGTCTGGGATATTGTATTGGAAACCTAGTAAAAAACAGGACACATAAACATATCTTGCATATGAGCGTTAATCGGAATAGCGCTCTACGTTAGAATAACAACATTATTAGCCTTGTGGAGGTTAGATTTATCACTTAACTCTCTCAAATATATGACCATGAGGTCGTGTGATGATCGCCTTTTTAACCTGATTTGTAAACACAAATGAAAACCGTGTCCGCTAGCCAGAAACGAGAAAAGTAAACATGCAGGAATGAAAAAAAGAATTAAAATTGTGAGCACAATTAGTTAGTGTTCTACTTTATACCAGGAAGACATTGGTATGTGAGTAACTACATATAGTAGCTCCGATTAGGGCAAACTATTTCGATCTGTGTGAAGTTCAAGTATTTGTGTAGAAACTAGTTAGCTGGCAAGATGATCCTAGGCTTTGGGCATTAGGATATGATCATTCAGCATAGTTAACTGTAGCATTGAACAAAAAGGGAAGAAAGTTTGAGCAGTGGGTTTTCTAACTTCTTTAACGTTTCTACTCTGAAAGTACTGAGAGTTGAGTCCTGTGATTGAATAGCCTTCTTAGGGCAAGCGGAATGGTCAGGGTATTGTATAAATCATTAAGCATGATTTTATTCTCAACATTATAGTGTATATAATGGTTACTAAATAAATTTAACGACTTGGTAATCTTTCGCACTATAGGCGTTCGTGTCACATCAGTTATGCTGCTGCTAATAATGAATAAGAGATTTATAGAATCAAGCCGTTAAACTACTTTTGGGTGGCACGGACTCATTGACTGGTCATGACGCCGTCTAACCCCAGCCCCTCAGAGTGGTGGGTTCAGTGCATGTATGCCCGGTACTTTGGTTCACCCACACATGGCCTCCTATGATTTCAGACTTCTTAAGTAAAAGAATATGCACGTACGTTTAGTCAGACCAAATCAGTAATACTCTGACCAGAAAAGATTCTGCGGTTTTTTTATTCGACTTACTATCTTCAAGTGTTTTGAATTCATAACGAAAATAAGATCCCTGATTTGACTGGTAATGATAGTAACAGTCATGGGTATGGTAAGTAGATATTGGTAAATTACAAGGCAGCTTTTGAACCTTGTTGTATAGTAGACCAAGCTAAATATATCATACTTAAGCCTTGATATTTTATATTTTCAAAGCGTATGTACACTGTTTCACTAGCAAACAGTGTTAAAAACCCAGAAACATCACACTATAAGAGAGGGAAATTATTAAAGTATACAGATAGATTACTCAGTGAGTTCAGCCTTGCCATCATGTTTTCAGTCAAGTTCTTAAAAATACACTACTATTTTTCTTAAAAATCAAACATCAATGGTTGTTTATGGATTTACTTGTCTAGTTTTGTTAATATGCTCCGGTTTGACAATACTATGGTAGAAATGTTGAGCGTTATTGTCCGTCAGTCGTATGAAGTTGTTATTTCCTATGAATGCAAAAAATAGTTTTAAAAACGTTTCCATATATCAGACATAGTCTCCGTCCCGTTAATCTGAGATATGCAGAGCCAAAGACTCATATTTGGCTATCTCTTGTATGTTACTGTTTTCTCAGTGTTGTTATTTCAAAACATCGTCTTCATGCATCTGAAAACCATGAAAATTAAGCTGTGTGACTAGCTATGGTTTGCATAAGATATAATAAGAAAGGACGTTTTAGGCACCATTGTTCAAGGTTTAACTAGAAGTCTGATATATTTGAAGCTATTAGCCTAATTTAATTTCTTAGCCAAGACAGATAGTGTGGATTCTGAGGCAGCGTACGTCAACGTATCATTCATCATATTATAAAGACCAAGTTTAACATGAACAGAAAAAGCTATGCTCTCACTGACATTATATTTGGTACAATAGTTTTATCACAATTAACGACGTTTGGTTCCTTTGAATATGGTTATCAATGTTTCAAAAGCACAGCATAGCCACGCCGTAGTCTTTCAGAGTGTTCCTAGCCACGATATTAGTCCACATTTTCCCAGGTTTAACGTCTCTAGTTTACATGGAATGGGCAATGTAACTGCTAGGTTTCAAATATGCGATATCCCCGACGGGATGCTATTCATTGGCTTGATAACCCAGTGCTCTGACTACTAGGTCATACAAGATAGAGTAATTTGTACAACCTAAAGTAAAACAAACTCACCTATTATTAGGAGAGATCATTTTTATATTTGTAGCTGTTTCGAGAACATGCCAATGGTATTATGAATTGTGTCTGCGATACATTTTTCTTCACGTTTTCGTTCAACTGCTCCAATATTTATCGGTATTTATGAAAAATCCAAGAGATTAATTGGTAAGTTAGCGAGCATATTATGTTCACATCACTCATTTTTACAGAAAATTGGTAGTCTATTTGTGACTTTCCTATAATGACAAACCATACGCTTCTTTTACAGTTCCCACATCTCCGTGACTTAGAATATGGTCGGCACACTGAAATCCTTCAGGATTATCGATCGACAGTCAAAATCCATTCTTTTCAAATTTCCCAAATCCGTAGTCATCGAACGCCTTAGGCTGGACTCATGTATCCGAAAGGAAACAGTAACAAATTTTTCTTTACCATGGTGACTTTATCGTCAGTTTATTTCATCATTTTTCTCTCTTACTTTGGTTCTATTCCTTCCTTAAAATTCACACTTTTACTCTTAACCGACTGATTTTAATTCATTCCTAGCTCCTAAAATATTTGTATTCAACTACTTCATCACACAGTCAACTCTATGATATCTCGTTACTAATTATGATGATTTGGAAAATTCACTTGCACACTGCGTTGATTTAAAACACTTTATATGTCTACTAGGTCAATACATTTACTCGAAAAACTATCCGACCAAAATGATACATATCCACTCCCACTGTTATAAGTACATAGAATTTGCGATAACTTCTGTTGTGAGATATTGTGAATAGTAATCGAATAATGTAAACCTAGTTAAATTAAGTGAATGTATGTTGTCTTGATCAATTGTCTGTTTCCGTTCCCATGAAGGCTATTAAATGTAAACTAGAGATGGATTTCTTTGATTTCCAACACTTTGAAATCATTCTTCCGTTTTATTGGGCCTAATAATATACGACTACAAAGCGCTAGATTATCATGAAGTTTTCATTAACTACTCATAAACTATACCAAACGGTATCACTGTCTGGTAGTCTGGAATATCCTTTTCATTGCATTCACTTCCAAAGTAATCCTGTATCTGTTGTGTCGTCCACGACCAGTCAGAGTGAATGACAACAGTGATATGATTAAAGTCTGTTTGCTCAACTTATTCTTTTGAAACGATAAAGTCAGTCTAGTCACTAGAGATCATGATGTACGGCTTCTACTGACTAGATTGTATTAGTAAGAAAAGACGAAAAAGTTCTCGCCTTTATATGGCATAAATCATATCGTTTCAACCCGACTGATTTAAGTGATCCATATCTAATTACCATATTGTCGACGTCAATCGTATTGTCAGTTAAGGGTTGTGGAGGTTACCGATTTTTTTTATTGAGATTATGGACCGATCAATTTAGGACCACCAGCGAAAACCTGGAAGCACCAAATGGCCTTTTCGCATTACTATGGAGCTCTTCATCAATGCGCACCCACGATCCTGAACGAGGGATCCAAACCCAGGACTTACGGTCATGCACGCGAACAGTTAACTTCTAGACCATTCAGTCGACGTTCAATGATGCTGATGTTCAACTTCAACCAATCCACATTTGGACTAAATGGCCGTCCAGTGCTTTCACGTTTTAACTGTTGGCCTACCATCGATCAACCAGTGATCCAAATAAAAATTCAATAGTATTCAAACAGTTCGGAAATGCTGTTTGGGTAAAGGTATAGTTGTTACTAGAGGGTCTTAATTTCGTTTATCTGTTCTCATAACTGCTTGGTGATATCAAGAACCGCATTCACTCGTTTTTTCAGCTTCATCGTTATCAAATAATGAGAATAAGATGAAATGAAACGAATACATGTTATCTCGTTTGATTCTCTATCATAGCTTTTTATGTTTACTTCCAAAATCGGTTAACTTCATTGTTTCGGAAAGTGCACTGTTAGCATTATTCACAACATTTTTGACCAAGTTACGCCCGAAATTATATTAGATATCTGAAAAGCTTTCATGAACACGTATGTTGAGACTTGATTGAATTGAACTTAAGGAAACTGTATATTGGACGCTTCTGGTGCCTCTAATTTGTATCAGTGCGCAACGTTGGGATTATCACATGAGTCGCTTCTTGCGGCTACTTCGCACTTGGTACTCTTCGAACTTTATGGTTTCCTAGCATTAAATAAAAACTCATCTGAATCAACTTTTGAATGCTTATGCCGAGCGAAAGAAAGGTGGAAAACTGGGTCCAGGAAGATAAATGTCAGAAAATCGACGAACTTGACGATATTTTGGTGGTAGGTGTACATATTCTTCAATGCTCTTACGTCAAGGATATTACCGGCTATTCGTTCTCATACTTGCGAACCGCCTTTGTGTACACTGGGTTTTTTCTAACATGCGGACTGTTGAGACTAGTTTTTCACTGGTTTCCACACTGGATGCTGATATGTATGTATAAAAAGTGCGCTTTGATGGAGGCTGAGAGGATTCTTGTTCAGGTAAATATCTTCAGTCCTTAAAGATGCATAATCCTGGGACTTATGATACGACCATTGGTTAAATTTCTCTTGTAGGATGCCTATGGTGTTTATTACATACATGATGTTATTGTTGACGTTATTGAAGGAGTGAAGTAAGAAAAACTTGTATTCTCTGACTCATTCTAACAGTTATACCGGAAGCTCTTACGTCCGTAAGCCTGTGTCATTTATGAAGTCACGAATGGTGAGCCTTGAGAACGTTGATATAGGTTTATGATAATTTCATTTTAGGATGGTAGGATGATGTGTTATTTCATTCATAAATGCCTAAAGTACGTATGGAATGGACAAACTCGCCGTTTTGAGCTCATCAGGTAGGGTTAATTTCAACATTATTTCACGTTTATTTCGCATAACCTGTGTGTGGGCATACCGATTTGTGTTGTTTATTGACTTCAGTGATCAGACGTTAGGTTATTAAAGTGCCTTTTCTTAAATAGTTTGTCAGTTTACGCCTTGTTTCATCCGACACAAATAACAGTGAGATAGTGAAACCTCCATCTTTAAGCCAGGTGGTTTATTTACCAGTCTTTTGTCTTGCTGGACATCAAACAGAGCTTCAAAAGTAATCGAGCTGTTCGAATTTTCAAATAAGTGACTAGTCAAGATTTATCTTGTCCCGGTCTTCATATTTATTGTAATTGTTTCTCTTAACGTAAATCGTGATTTTACGGTTGACTACTATTATTATATCAGCTAACTGATTTATTCAATTTCAACGTTTATTAGTTACCTGGTGACCTGAATGCATGACATGCCAAGATTCGCTGACCTTCATTTTTCTTCTGTCCAGGATTTTGAATTTCACTAATCGGACCTTCACCCATAATTGTCTGATTACGTTTATCTAATCTAAAGTATTTAGTAACCTGAAAGCCAATTAGTGTTAATAAATAGGAAGAGGACGACTGTTTTGTCCTGCGTAATCTTCTTTACTTTTGCACTTTTTTTAAGGTAATATATGGCGATTCTTGTTATTTCATGTTTTGACCCACTCAAATTCACTCGGTGAATTTAAGGGTTTTTGAGATTCTGTGGGTAGTCATTCTTCCGAATGAATTGGGCGACTAGGATAATCTCTATCATTCGTACTTGGAAATTACCATAGGCCCGATTGTAAATACCACCATCTCCATCTAGATCGCTTAAATAAAATAATACAGACTAACTCACTCACTAGGTACTTGGATATGAGGCACATTCGAGATGCGAGGACTAATGATACTATCCGATTACCCAAACCACAAGTAAATGAAACGGAGTTTGAGCGTGGGATCAGCGTTTGATAGTCAAATTTCTTGAGCACAAAGCCACTGTTATTAAACAGTATAATTTGAAACTTTTCATTTCAAACTGTTTTTTGCTAGTATTAGTTTTAAACTATTACTTGTTAGTATCGTGGCTTTCGTAGTTTTTATTTTATTAGCTTCCTGTCAATATATGGTGTGATTTGTGGTATCATAAACCGACGCACATATAAAGTAGTTCCTACGTTTTTTTAGTTTGTTTGCCTACCTTCCAATTTTCCCATTTCGAATGGGAAACATTTCTTAGTACAATGTAAATTTCCTACATGCGCCTTTGGAAAATATTGTCATTGCTTGGGTCTTAACCAAGTACCGTTTGTGGTTTCATTTCAGAAGATGCTTCACTGCACAATGTTATCCCACTTATTTTGTCATAGATTTTTCTGTCACATGTTGAACATTATGGTAGTTGATGACAGCTTCGTTTTGAACGGGTACAATTGTGCATAAGGAAGAAATTTAGTCCCTGAAAAGTTAACCCTTAGATTCGGCTTACCTCTTAACACTTTTTAAGTACTTGCATAGTAAGAAACTAGTAGGGAGGTTCTAATATGTAAACACAGCGTACAAGTTGTCAAAATACTTTCTGCTGTGTTGCGTTTATTAGGTACAATGGGACCTGAAAAGAATATTTTTTTCTCTTTCGATTTTTAGGGGTTGGCATGAAACTGCATATGAAGAGATCCTGGATTCTAAGCCTTTGAATAACGAAACAGTCCTTATGAATCGTGCGTTGTATGGAATGAATGAAATAAGTATCAATCTTACTTCAATTATCAGGCTACTACTTGATGAGGTATGTTGGTCAGATCACACGTTGAATAGTTTTGTATAATTTGAAGGTTGATTTTGTCATTGGTACTGGATACGTATTTGTTATGCGTTGTATATTAAATTCCGTTTTTCTTCCCCTTATTTTTATCCAGTGCTTGAATCCGTTCTACTGTTTTCAAATATTCAGCTGTATTTTGTGGTATTCTGATGAGTACTGGATGTACGCTACTTGTATTGTTGTTATTTCAATTATATCACTATCGTGGCAAGTTTATGAACTACGTAGAGTAAGTAACTACTTCTCTATTCTAATGGTTTTTAATAACTGATGGTCTTGTTTTGATGTACTGGTCCAATGATCTATAGAATGCTTTGATAATCAGGACGCTATTTGTCCACTGATCTCATCTACTATAGTTGAGATAGAAATGTGGTATCACTTAGATTTTTCTTATTAAGAAGTTCCGACTATTTGTTTGCATGATTTAATTGTCAAAGGAACGTAAAACGGTGACCGATTGATAATGTTAAGCAGTGTGAGTGAGATAACTAGTCAACTGCTTTGTAACTTCCAATTAATTTTTTCAACTAACGTGCAGTTGAAAAGATGACTACATGTGAATGCAAAAGTGTAAGATCATTAATTTAAAGTGTAACCTGTTAGTAGTATAACCTGTCAACATGAAATGATATCCAGGAGCAATAAATGTCCAGTGAGTCCAAAACTTCAGATATCGATCTATGTTAGGTTTGTTATCATAGTTTTATACCTGGCTGCTAATCGTAGGTTCGATTTGGTCTCAGAATTTGTATTAATTCATAAATGAGGTCGTAAATCCTTATCATCTCTTTCATTTTGTATTTATTCAAGGGCTAAACTGCGCCACATAGTAAACTGTGTAAATGTATGACGATTTGTTTGTGGTGTTTCTCGAACTAAATTAAATTGTTTGCTTTACGAATTGATAAATTTATTCATAACGGTTTCGCCATATGATTTTGATAAAAGTAAGGATAGCTTGATCCTAATTATTTGGGTAACATGGTACGTTGTTGCATGGGGTGATTTTAGCTTATATCGTTTAGCGTGTAAGTCTGAAAGAAATTGTAGAACGTTCGGATTTAGAGTAAAACCATTCATAGGACAGGACGTTTTGTGGTATGTGCTACTGTTGTCAACAGATATAGATAGTGCGTATCATCAATTGAAATTGAAATCTCTGGAGACAGAAAGTTAAGAAGATCGAAGAAATGAGAACGATAACAGGGAATGATTGGTGTGAAAACGCAGGAACAATCAAGTCTGATACGACTGACATTTAGCAAATGTAGTATTTACTGTATGGTTATCAGATTTTACTAAGACGTTCTGTAATTTTGTATTCAAATACATTCGATTGTCCTCACCTGTGTTCTCGTTCACTACAGTATATATTTATAGTACATACCAAATAAAAGTTTCCTCTTCCTTAAATCCAGTGAATTTTCTTAGTCAGTATCGTGTGATAAATTCAAATATGACACCATCGAATCTTATTATTTATTTATTTATTTAAACACAAATATTGGTACAAAGGGGCACCAGATACATATGCGCTACACAAATCTCATTCGATTTGCGTGGGGGCTGTGATACTGCCCAGGTGCCCAGACTGAAACAGGTGGTTTTCTTAGGGGGCCACGCCCGGAGCCTTTGACCTGAAGGTCTAGTCCACAAGGCAGTGGAGCATCGTAAGGAGATGCAGTCCCATGGTAGCCGGTGACCAACAGTTGGTTCATACGCCATTCGTTCCTTCAAGATACTGGAGCCCATGTGCACCATTGGTTTGGAATCAGGGTTTTCCAACTCCCCTAGGTGGATCCTCCACATCCACCAACCCGGACATTCGCTTTTCGTCCTCTCACTTTCATGAACAACACCCCGGCCACGAGAAGGCAGTGAGTAGGACTTCCCTGAAAGAGGCTATATATTTGCGTGGCCATATGAGAGCATTTCGAGAGAGAGAAAGCAGACTCTCCCCACTCTCGGCCGTACCAGGGCATTGAATCCTGAATTAATAGGACGTTGTATAATTCCTCACTGAAAAAGTTTGTATTTGAATATGTTTCGAAGCAGTGTCAATAATGCTTTATTTGCACAATTGCGTTCCCCCATTGCTAAAAAATTTCCTTTTTTTGTAGAACGAAAGGACTCTTAAAGAAACTATGTGTATATCCTCTTCTGTAATGGTTTATCGAGAGGAAGATGGGGTTAAAGGTATTCACATATTTTATTTTCCTATAATCATCTTCATGACTTTTATAATGACTATACTTACATTTCGTTCGTCTGATTGTTTTGACCCATAATTTTTGATTGCTCACGTTATTGTGCAGTAGTCGAATATGAGTCAACAGGAAAATAAAACAGAAACGAAGGGTGTTAATTTATTTTAGGTTGGAAAGATAAAGCTTGATTGGATTTGAACTGTTGCGGTAGATTCTGTATCATACCATCTAACCCCTCCCAATCTCATTCTAATATTCACAAGTATTACACTCAAGGAAGTTTTTATAACTCTCGACCGTCAATGGTGTATAGTGTTTGTTTTAAGAGACGACTCAAAAAAACCTAGACAATTTTTGCTTAACTTCAAAGTAACTCATCTTTAGTTCCATGAATAATGCTACAAATATAGATACGGACACAGATTTGCAATACCTATGTGTCACTGTTAACAGTAGTTTTAGATTTTTAGTTTATGGTATGGATAAAGCGGGATTATACTTACCCTTTAATGTAACTAGGCATTCAATGGATCTTAAAAGTGACATAAATATGACAAATAGTCAATGATGACTAATCTGTCAAGGCTATTGTGGTTTCTGAGGTAAATGCAGTGGTCTGTATGCTTAACTTTTTCGCTCTTTGTTGTTAATGTTGGTGTTAAGAAAAACGAGTTTTGGAACGTTGTCTTACGTTTGGAAAGTGAGAAATACATACCAAAGGTTTCCAATTCACGCATTTAAAAGCCTCCCTTTTTCCAGTTTATTTATATAGTAAAACTGTAGGTGTATCAGAGATTCATCAATTAGGAGTCTCTAAACGGTAGGAACTAACCAGGAATACTTGCACCAGTAGTGTACAACAGGTCAGACAGGGATAATGATAAGAATATTCTCGAAGATCATTTATCGTTTTCATGGACTCACATAATAATTTTTATTAGCCATTAACTGGCTGCACTCAAAAGTTCTTGTTCAATCCAGTTATTCGAAAGAATTTATAATGATGTAAATTAGATGTCTATAACGTTTATTTGAACATTTTACAGACTTTTAAATGTTTTGTCCGCTACTAATTCGCATATTATTGTATTCATTTGTGCTGATAAATATTTATTCAGTCCGAAAGTATTACATCCACTTGCATAATAACTTCTCATCAAATAATCATGTAAAAAATGTTCTTTTTAGGGCTAATAATTTAGAGATCATAGTAAACAAACTTTCTTCGTGAGCACCTTTAAAATTTGATCTACTCATCATCACTTTTTTATAAAAACCACACTTGCGTATTCAGTTGTACTTGTACTCGATGTGACATTCTGACTGTCAATCCTCGTAAATTTGATTTGTAAGCCCTGTCGATGAGATCTTTATCCATTTCTCATGTAGATGTACTACTAAGGTAATCAAAAACTTACTCAATTTTTGTTAATGATGTTAATTTTTTTTAGTAACGGTAACCGGGAGTACTTTATTTAAATTCACTTCTTTTAATGACCTTAGCTTTTCTCTGATTCGTTACCACTACTTTGAGTTCCCTAATTGTCTGTGTTGTCAACGTCATTGATTCGTTACTACTTACACTGGTGTTTCAAGTAGAAACAGCTTGTGAAGTCTACTGAGAGGACCTAGTAGTCCTTCTGGAACGCATTCCGTTTTTTGAGGCTCACAAACCTACCGCGTGAATGTGATTTAGTGGGGACCGCAGCCCTACGGGTCTTTGCATGCATGATGGTATCGCACCAAAAGAACAAGTAAATAAGTTTGCGATTTTACTTGCCCTGGATATGTATGGTCTACTTTCATACTCGTTTACACACTTTCATCTGTGTATCACATGGCATACATGCAGGTATACCATACACTGTGAGCAAACATACATTACATACACACCCGTTACACAGGTTTTACCCTATGTATGCCATTGAATACACATAGACATATTTACCCACCCGGAAGGGTAGATGTTCACCGCTCCCAGAGAATACGTATTTGCTGTACACATTATATACATATCATTCACATCATGGCTACCCCCTTAGTATTTCTTGACACAAGCATAAGCATAAGCACTTTCTCAGAGGGGGGTTGTTGGTTTCCTCACCCTAGTATTTGCTATCATTTCTTTTTATTGTCTTCGACCTGATAAGTAGGCCTCTGATTTTACTAGACAGGACAGACACTTTTTAGCTCAACGTTTACTTTGTAGAATAACGCATGCGTACCCTTTGCATATACCTATAAACTTGAACTACATAGGTTCGAGAACTTCTGCACTTCTCATACATAAGCATACACATGCGGTAACTCGAGCGGTTATGTGAACCGCGAGTATAGAACCCAGGATCGATCAGATACAGCAGAGTGAGTTATCGATCTGATCTCTGCAACCGCATAAGATGGCTAGCGAGGTCGTCCCCACCATCCAGCAGCTCCACGAGGAGGCCTTAGGTCGGATTTTGCTGTCACTGAGTCGTACTAATTCTGTTTGTTCCGTTCGAATATCAAGTTCCCCCACACTTCCTCTTTTTATGTTAGCGGCTAGTTGTTGAAGTGTTATGTGCCAGCTGTGTTTAGTGGGTGCACAATAGAACTGTTTTTATTAGAGAATACCCTAATGGTTTCTTAATCCAAAAGTATTGTAGACCAACCGGAAACATCAAAAAGTAATCATTATTATCAAGATTTAACATGGGAAAAGAGCATTCCTGGTTTGTGTAGAAGTGGAAAGTATATTTTGTTGTGTAATAAGAGCTATGTAACCTTCCTAATTGTTAAATGTCTTCTTTGTCTAACTATAATACAGTAGTTTGAATAATGCGTAGTTTGAAAACACTCATTATCTAATAGTATGACCTTAAACAATGAACTGTCATGGGACTTGTGATGTCTTTATTTCATGATTTAACGAAAATTAATTGATTGTATATTTAGCAAAAATGGATAATGGGTAGCAGTGGAATTCAAAATGCGTGTTTCGTCCTATTTGGGACTTCTCAGTTAGGTTCGAGTCCCGTTGTGAACATCAACTCTGGGATGCAGGTACATCCGGCTGAAGAGTCCGGAATAGGACGGAACGCGCGTTCTGTATTCCACTAATAGCCACTATCCATCGTTGTTTACAATGCTTGTGACCTAAGGCAACATCGAGAAAATCCATTCAGGATGCACGTATGTCAATTACCAACTGATCAATCGCACTCGTAAACATCAATGAGAAGATTCAACCAAACAATACGGAAATGAAATATTGATTGTATAGTTTGGATTAACCGTTCTTTTAATCCACCAAAATGGTTATTTTAATTCCCTTAACAGTAGATATTCAAACATAATAATTCATTTGTTTCTTAACACTTGAGAATGAATGTCTCATAAATTATTGTTTTCATAGAATTCAAAGAAGTGGATTCCATTTCATTAGTTCCCGGTGATATAATTGAAATTCCACGAAACGGATGTCTGGTTCAGTGTGATGCCATCTTACTAACAGGAAACTGTATAGTAAATGAAAGTACATTGACTGGTGAGTTACGTTAGTATGATGTTACTGTAGATATGGATTCATTAATATGTAAAGTAATGTCAACTATACTCTCAACTCAATCTTTTTAGTCCCCCGATAAATTTTATGTGAATACACAAATGCATATGAAGATCGCTGTATAAAATTCATCCCATTGTAATCGTTTATTTTATATACTTTGGTTTTATATAATTTTCCCCAAACATTCTCCATAATAATAATTATAATGATAGTAGTGTTCCTTATTTAGAAAGTACAGATTCATATACTACTTGACCTTAAGTCTTGGTGTTTTTGTGAGGTGTAGTGGTTTTTTCGGACTGGCTAAACTGAAATGGGATTTAGACCTGTGAAGTTATGATTGGGAACCGAGTGGAGTAACCGCTAATTCACTCTCTGTTCGTGGTTCAAGTCACATTACAAATGTTGATAATGATACGATATGAATTATTCAGAGTACCGACATCAAAATTTATGGCCTATATGGTGTTTTTTATTTTTTCTGGACTGGGAAATATTATGTTGTGGGACTAGGATACATCGTCACTAAAATAGTTTGAGAGGGAAACAGTTTCACTGATTATTGACGAGTTTTTTGTTCTACATGAACCACGATGTAACAAAATAAGCAGTGTAATCTATGCATGAATACAGAGAGATGAGTGCACTTTTTTGCATGACGGCGAGATCGTTTTGGCTCTGTGTGTGGTTGGTGTGTAACATTGATGATGTTCATCAATAACTTTGTCTGAAAGTAACCATCATTTTTTCATTTTACAGTAATATGTTGAATAACAGTATGTACTAGAAATTCGTATATCATTCGTAAATGATTTTTCCAATGATAAAATTTCTACTGTGTAGGTTTAAGACAACGTTTTGTAAAGGAGAACTCAAGGTGTGTATAGTCTTCAAGAGATTTGACTCTGGTAAATAGAATTCGATGATATGATTTCCTGTATTTGGGTGCATGGAGTATCAAATATATTGGATAGTTGAGCTTGAGAAATACTTCATATTGGGAAATTGATTTATGTGTCGGGTTGAAGAGCAACTGTGTTTGAATGACCGTATGCTGGAATTACACACATGTATTCTATGGTATCAACTCAGTTTATTTGCGTTACTACAAATAAGTAAGAAGTACTTTCATCCGAGCAACAAATATGATCAAAACGCCAAAACATGAATTCCCATTAGCACTCCACTTTTCCATCATTTAAACAATTCAGTACAGTGAAATAAGATACTGTGCTTATTCACAGACTGTTTTATTGTCCTGTATGCTGTCTACACAAATAATGTTTCATGTTCAGAGAGTTGAAAAACCGACCATATCAGTTGTTATAAATACTACTCAGTTCTAATTACCCGAAATTCACTGGTTCATATTATTCTTCACTTTGGATCACGTATTAAAGACCATACTAACCCTGTTGTATTTTAAAACAATGTCGTTTTCTGATTAAGGTGAAAGTGTTCCAGTTACCAAAATTCCCTTAACCGATTCACCGTCCAATGGTACGTTATTCGATATCAAACTTCATGGTCGGCATATTTTATTTGCTGGTACTACTGTTATTCAAACAAGAAATTATGCAGATGAGCGAGTTCTGGCGGTTGTTGCACGCACTGGCTTTTACACTGTCAAGGGTGAGCTTGTACGGTCAATTCTGTTTCCGAAACCTCTAAAGTTCAAATTCACCCAAGATTCCTTCCGGTTTATTTTTGCTTTGTCTATTCTTGCTGTGATTGGTTTAGGAGTTTCAATCTATTTGATGGTAAGAAGTGATGTTTTTGTGCAGAATGTGTAGTTGTTTTCACTTTTCATTTGGTTACTGATGTTTTTTCACCATTCATTCCTTATCTCGTCCACATTTACAATATAGTTTGCTCAGTTGGGGATTTAATTTCTGGTACAAATATATATTTTTCTGGATTGTGTAGAGTTTAACCTATCATGTATTGAATATGATAGCCGTGTAATTGAATCACTTCTACGACACCACCCTTTGAAGAACCTAGGGAATCTAATATAATAAAGTCTTTAGTTTTATTGATTTACATATGAAGATGATAAAGTCCTGTTTGGTGGATATGGTGATGAAATTTGGGGTCCTCTGGCATTGTGTCCTTTTTTACCACTTCTACGTGGTAGGTTTCAAACCGAGTTTTCTTCTTTGTTCAGTAAGTTTTGTCCTGCCGTTTGATGACGCCCATAATAACCTTAAATCAATACTTCCCTTATTAGCGTTGACTATTTCTTGATTGGGTACTTTGTTTTCTTATGTTATCTTGTTTTACACTTCCTATAATATTCGGTTTACTACAAACATCGTATTTGTGTAGTTCTTTTTTCTTTCCTTGGACTCCTGCTTTCAAACGATACACTTCTGTCTTCTCTTATTGCGTTCTTATGGAGCGAATACGGTTGAAGCGTTGTTGTCACACACCAGCTATAAATATTAGTTACGTGTTGTTACTGCTACCTTGACGTGGTGGTCGGACTTGCCCATCGTGATGATTCAATCGAGCTATACTGGCTGGAACAATCGTTCCTCAAGGTCCTACCATGCCAGGCAGGTCGTTTGAAGAGCGGTGAGACTAAAAGCAGCAAACCCAAGGTCCGAAGGCGAAGTCGTACTGCTGACTGTACAGAGGTGTGACAGCAGTAAGGTGTTTCCTTCAGACAACCAGCATTACAGCGATGCTGCCTTCCCACAAGGAGGGGTGGGGTTAGAATAGGCCGACCCTAAAAATGCACACCTCGCCTTATCCCACGGATATCCGTCTCCGGCGTTAAGGTCTTTTGAAGAACGGAGCTAACACAAAAACTACCCACAAAAAGGTCGTGTGTGACCGACCTCAAGCAGTTGTTCCTTGGGCACTGCGGTCACGCTCTCAGGTCATTAAGACCACTTCTACCCCAATTTCCTTTTCAGGTACCCCTAGAAGAACTCTTCCATGTTGTGGGCGACAGGGGAGTGATAACTGCTCTCATACCTCTAACAGCACTCAAGACCACTGTATTCATAATCAATCTCCTTCAATACCTACAATTCCTTCTACCTTGACTTTCAACACTAAACTTCCTGTTCCGGTTTCCTCCTCAAGTGTCACCATGGCCAACGATTCTAGTGCGCGAAACGCTGTCCCAGGTCTACTTAAACCTCGCTCCAAACTACACATTGGAGCCTTCAACGTACGTACCCTATGCCAAATCGGTCAACAGGCCTCCTTAGCTAAAACCCTAGAATCTCGTACCATTGATGTATGCTGTGTCTCCGAAACACGCATACAGGATCCCAGTGTGGTCATTCACTTGACCTCACCTCGCCAAAATGGACAGCCAACGAAATACACCCTCCGTGTATCTGGTGACCCGTTGGCTAGTTCTCGTGGACTTGCAGGTGTAGGCATAGCACTAAGTAAAACGGCAGAACAGACACTATTAGAATGGATCCCCGTTAACAGTCGCCTGTGTGCTGTCCGGCTAAATGGCTCCGTAAGAACTCGGAAGGATAGAGACACACGTCGTTGCCTTTTCGTCGTTTCTGCCTACGCTCCCATGGACTGCAGCCCTGATGAAGTGAAAGATGACTTTTACAGAAAGCTCTCTGAGCTTCTTCAGAAAGCTAAGCGCTCAGACATAGTAGTCGTAGCGGGTGACTTTAATGCCCAGGTAGGCAGCTTGAATCAAACAGAAAAACATTTAGGTGGGTGTTTTAGTATTCCGGCTCAACGAACCGATAATGGTGGTCGTCTGTTGCAACTATTCTCAGACAATCGTTTATTTCTAGCAAGCACTAATTTTAAACATAAGGAGAGACATCGTCTAACATGGCGACCACCTGCACCGAACCAACGATGGACTCAAATAGACCATATTGTCATCAGTCATCGTTGGAGAGGCTCAATAGAAGATTGTCGCTCGTATTGGAATACTTGTTTAGACTCTGATCACGCTTTAATACGAGCGCGCATTTGTCTGCGCCTCAATGGACGCAGGAAAAGTACACTAAGAAGACCCATTAAGATTGAACTGGATGACGAGAAAGCCAAATGCGAATTCCAGAAACAACTGAGTTCACATCTAGGTAGTTCTGTAAACGAGACTGACCCAGATGCTGCTTGGAAAGACACACGAACAGCTGTGGAAACAGCAGTAACATCTATTAGTTATTTAAACCATCGGGCTCCAAAAAAAACCAGTGGATTTCTTCTAAGTCTATTTCACTGATGGATTCGCGTAAACTCATCCCATCAGGCTCTGAACACGACGAAGAGCGTAAACAAATTAGATCTAGATTAATTAAAAGTCTAAGGAACGATCGTGAGCAGTGGTGGGCAACGAAAGCAAAATAGATGGAAAAGGCAGCGGCTGTAGGCAACACCAGGCAACTATTCAGACTAATAAAAGAAACGGGAATTAAGAAGTAAAGTGTAAGTGAGACGATCTCGGAAAAAGATGTAACCCTTATCTGCTCTCAACCCAAACGTTTAGAACGATGGGCGGAACACTTTAAGGAGCAGTTTAGCTGGCCGTCAGCTACTGCACAACTATCCACTCTTCCCAGAAAACCTGAATGGAACATTGAAGTAGGCCCCCCGACCCTACTTGAAGTTCAAAAGGCTATAAGTAATCTGAAACGAGGAAGAGCAACTGGTCCAGATGGATTGGCTCCAGAGGTCTTTAAATATGGTGGTCCAATTTTAGCGATCAGGTTGACTAATATTCTGGCTAAAATCTGGGAAACGGACGTAATCCCATCCGACTGGTCACAATCTCTGATCGTCCCAATATATAAGAAGGGGCCAAAATCATCCTGTGATAACCGTCGAGGGATTAGTCTGACTAAAATAGTATCTAAAATACTAGCCTCAATAATTATCAGGCGCCTAACTAAGACTCGTGAACTGCAAACACGAGAAAATCAGGCTGGCTTCAGATCTGGTCGTGGCTGTATCGACCACATATTCACCATTCGTCAAGTTTTAGAGCACAGACATGCTTATCGGCGTCCGACAATGATAGTTTTTCTCGACTTGAAAGCAGCATTTGACTCTGTAGACCAAGAGGTTCTGTGGCAGTGTCTGTCATTGAAAGGTGTACCTGAGAAGTACATAAACCTTGTGAAGGCTCTTTACTCGAACACTACCAGTCGAGTGAGAGCTTATGGCGAACTGTCATATGATTTTACAACCTCAAGTGGTCTCCGTCAAGGTTGTCCACTATCCCCATTTTTGTTTAACTTCATTATAGACCTGTTGCTGGAAATAACACTCTCGTCGACTGAATCTTCAGGAATTGATCTTCTACCAGGAGGTTCACTTATCGACTTAGAATACGCAGATGACATAGTCCTGTTTGGTGAAGACGCTGGGAAAATGCAAAGTCTTCTGTTGGAACTCAGTAATAATGCCAGGATGTTTGGGATGCGATTCTCCCCATCCAAATGTAAATTGTTACTCCAGGACTGGCCTGCGTCAACACCTGAACTAAGGATAGGGAGTGAAGAAGTCGGACGCGTCGACAACTTCACTTATCTTGGAAGTCCGATCAGCCCTAATGGGTTGGTGTCTGAAGAAATCTCAGCACGGATTCAAAAAGCTCGTTTGGCTTTTGCCAACTTACGTCACCTATGGCGAAGACGAGATATCCGTCTATCAATTAAGGGACGAGTACACTGCGCAGCAGTTCGTTCTGTTCTACTTTACGGCTGCGAAACATGGCCATTAAGAGTAGAAGATACTCGTAGGTTACTAGTATTTGACCACAGATGCCTTAGAAATATTGCTCGCATCTGCTGGTAACACCGGGTAAGTAATAGTGATGTTAGACGCAGGGTATTAGGGAATGATGGTAAATCAGTTGATGAGGTGATGAATCTTCATCGACTGAGATGGTTGGGCCATGTGTTACGTATGCCTGAACACCGATTACCACGACGCGCAATGCTGACTAGTGTAGGGGATTGTTGGAAGAGAGTTAGGGGCGGCCAAACCAAAACATGGCATCAGTGTTTAAAGTCACTAACTTCTAGTCTGAGCCATGTTGGCAGATGCAGACTACCTGGTTGGGGTCCACGTGACTATCGTAACCTATGGTTGGAGACTCTGAGTGACATGGCTCAGAATCGATCACAATGGTGTAGGTGTATGCACTCTTTATCTTCCCTCAAACCTTAAGATTAAAATTGCTTCGTAACTTTTTTCCTTCCTATACTATATTCTTATATACAACCTATAATTTATATACTACTACCAACACTAAATTAACTACTATGAATCCGGTGTTCATCTTGTTGTGCTAACGAGGTATGGCAACTTGGACCGATGCATATATGTGCCTGGTCCTACGTTGTTGCTGACTGACTGACGTGTTGTAAAGAATAATTAGATTCCATTTTTTAGGTGTTGTACTCTTATATTTTTTCAAAAAAATTCCAAATGGTTACCACAATATTTTCGAAAAGATCCGATCAAATTCGCCGAACCGATTCTAAGAGATCACGATTGAAGAACGGAATGAATAAAGTCCTTCTATTGGCAAGCATTTTTATCCGAAATGATTCAATATAACTGTGGGTTTACTTGGGGTAAAGTACGAATGAACAAAATTCCCACGAATGAGCTTTGGAGTAAAATTTATATCGGATAAAGTACACTTACTGTGTACTTCTTTCACATCGTGTCATTTCTACTGTAAAATTGAACAGTGGAACTTGTTTTATGGATTTTAAGAGATTTTAGTACTGCTCATAGACAGCTTTTACTAACATATGTCTCTATTAAGTAAATTCTATCTGGCAGTACTCTTAGCCTATCAATATCTTTCGTTGTTTTTGAAGTATCTCATCCTACTGCTTTATACATGTAGATTCTGGAAATAATGTTTGTCAAAAATGATAGGAACAGTTAAAAATGACAATAAAAGATGTTGATTGTTATCTAATTTACAGGTGTAGATGTCTGCATACCCACAACCTGATTGGAATCAGTTTTAAAATGGATGTTAATAGTTGTTCTGAATACTTGTAATCCTTTGCTTTCAAATTTATTTCAAACAAGATTTGAATGATGCACATCCTCAGTTTAATCATTTTCAGTGCTGATTATTACCCAATTTGATCTCTCCACTATTACTGGCGAATAATATATTAGACATTATAAAATGTAACTGAACATAATGAGTTTATTGTGAAGTTTTTTCAAACGATTGACCTTGCTGTTTTAGATAAGAGCTAACGTTGGTGTTGGTGACATTATCCGTCGAGCGTTAGATTTAGTTACTGTAGTGGTACCACCAGCCTTACCTGTTGTAATGACAGTAGGTGTTGTTCTGGCTCAACGACGTTTATTATCTCATGGAATATTTTGTGTCAATTCAACCGTGATCAATGTTTGTGGAGTTATCAATGTAGCTTGTTTTGATAAAGTAAGACTTTTATCTCTGCTTTCAACTTATTATTATTATTATTATTATTATTATTATTATTATATTATTATTATTATTATTATTATTATTATCGTTTCTGACCTATCTCTCTACAGTTTAATATGAGTGACTGTTTTGTCTGAACCCATTTAAATTTGTTTGTGAATACTCTAAAGATATGGGGTTTGTTAGATTCGAAACCACGACATATGATGTGTTGCCGTATCTTTCTCATCAGGGAATTTCGATTCAGTTGTTTCTGGGGTCTTGAATTATGACCAGTTAAGCTAAATATGTCTTATTGGCTGGAAAGTATTATTATTACACATAATAAAGATATTAATTCATACAGGGCTTGGAAGTTTTGTTATTTTACATTTATTGCACGAATACCCTAATTATTTTCGGATCGTATTCTCTATACCTATTATTTTTTCCCCACCACTGATGTTACTACCACTTTGGTATTCACCATGATCATTTAATCTTTCTGTGCCGTCGTGGTGTGAAAAGTTGGGCCTACTCATATTTGTGCTTATTGTGCTACATTGCTTATGATTGACTAGTCGATGTAGTTATCTTATTGTCGTCAGTTAAATAGATTTTCTCCAAATAACGATATTCAGACTTTTGCGGTAGGCTACTGATTACGGAAGTTACTGATGGCAGATGATGTTATTTGGTTTTATGGGTTGAAAATGAGGGGTATTGATGTAAAACGTGTAAATCAGTAAATTACAGTTTACTATCAAAATGACTGTGTCGTAACTGACCTTGTTTTGGAGCTGGCAAACTAATGAGTGAAATTGATAGTGTTCATTTAATAAGTTACACAGCCAACTTGACCAATAATTATTTCAATTTCGTATGCATAGTTACTTTTGTTATCTTGATTAGAGCAAGAACGAAGATTGGTTGAGAATAATATTATTGAAATCGATTAGTTATGACTTAGAGAAAAATGACAATGATATAATCAAACTTCAAAAAAAAAAATCGAAATGATGAATGATGTAATAAAAAAGATGTAATGTTAGCAGGACAAGGAAAGATTTATTACAGCTTCGTTCTAGGCACATAGATCTGGTTTTAGACGTTTCATCGCTATATTGCTTCGGCAAATTTCAGAAGATTAGAGTTTGTTTATTAGTCACTTTGGAAAACTTCAATGTATCCATTTGATGTCCTGTGCCAAAAAAATGTCTTGATATGGCACTGTTGAATGTTTTTAATCTATTTGATCTTAGAGTTTTTGAATATGTTCTGCATACAACATGTAATATTTTAAAATCAAAGTTAACACAGATATTGATATACTCATAAATAAGGTGATTAGAAATGAATCCATTTGATCTTAGACTTTTCGGAATGTGTTCTTTGAATCGGGTATAGGCTCTCCTTTCTTTTCTACCAACGTAACTGCTTTAACTGATACATGTGAACTTGTATACAAAGTCGATGGTATTATGAAAGAAATATCTATCGACCTTTGATTGTGTTAAAGAACATGTTGTTTTGTAGAAGACAATCAGTTAAGTTGCAGGATGAGTTCTTACCAAAGTAGTTTTTAGTCTCATACTGACATCATCACCTTTGAATTTAAGTTAAATAAAAATAGGCTTTCGATTTACTGTAGTTTCTTTGAGTTTTTATCTTCACATTTTGCATGTTTCTTAATTATTTCAATGCCCATCGATGTTAATGATCTTATTTTTCAACAAAAGGTGTAAAATCTGCAGCCATGTAAATTATTAGAAATGTATCCACAATATATATATATATATATATATATATATATATATATATATAATCATCTTCAGTGCGTTTTTTGGTCTAAAGTTTTTACTCATATTAATGTTCTTTCATGTGTGCTCAGGTTGTGCTATTCTTTATTTTATAACATAATTATTAGTTATCCTATCCTATTTCTATCATACCGTTCCGCTCTAGATTTTTTTCGCATATGGACTCTGATTAAATTGTAAGTGACACAGTTCAAATCAGACATTCATGTATTCTTTTTCTTTCAGACGCCTTAAAATCTTTCTTGCTTAATTCTTCTCCATCTATTTTGCCACTTATTTATTCACTATTTCTCTATTTTCCATTTATCTCCAAGCTTCATGGACCAATTTAGCACCAGAGTCATGTTATAGTACCTTATTTTAACTATCTTGGAATCCAGTTTGTTTTAATTATTTTAATCCTAATACGTGTTTTAAGCTGCATACTAAAGCATAATTTCAGTAGTATCTATGAGCTTTTTAGTCTGTATAAATGAGTAGTCACTACCTAAATTTATCAGTAGTTGTTAATTAACTAACCTATCAATATGAGGTTGTGGGGGTTGTTGAATTCCATTAAAATCATTAACCGATCTAAGTTAGACTACTGTTTAAAACCCGGAGGTACTTGATAGCCGTTTCGTCCCACTATGGTACTACTCATCAGTGCCGTTCTACAAAAAAATGGTCGTCCAGTCCTTTCATGCTTTCAATGGTGGTCTAACTATTGTCGATTCATGATTTCAATAAAATCAAATAACCTATTCAATGTCGATTCTAACTTAATTTTGCTTTGAGTTTCGCTTTTTTTTAACAAGCTTTTTAATACCATATGGTAGCTTTTTTTGTCATATAACGTAAATTTTAATGTAAGAGTTGTTAACTGTGTCAGGTATCATGACAATTACGTTAGCTACATCGGTCAGAATCTTAGTGTTTATAATGTAAACACAAAATGCGAAAATTTAAAGACAATTTTTTTGGTTGTTGATTAAAATGAACTCAACTATTATTAACCAAACCTGAAATTTCAAATCGATAATTAAATAATTTATTTTAATCGTTTCATTAACAAGTTACTGTGTCCAATGGTACTTTAAAGATAAAAAAACATCAGCAACTGAAATACTTCATTTACTAACAGACTAAAACTTAATAATCAGTTGAATCACTTCTTCACATTACCGAAACGGTTAATCTCCAGTTCACACGAAAACGTACTCATGAAAAAGTGCTAAAAGTAATTGGATAATTATAGGAAGAGAAAAAAAATTAACCCTAGTTTAATAAAAATATCCAAGACTCCATCTCTGTTTATAATGCTTGTGACTTAATAACAGTATCGAGGTAATCTGTACAGGATGCACAAATAAAATAAGAGACTGATCAATTACATTCCTAAACGTCAATGGAAAGATTCAAACAACCAATACAAGGTGAATTAGACCTCACCCTATTGTACAAGCCCATGGTCATCTGAACTCAATGGCACTTGAAGTGAACGGTACTGGGTTCGCGTCCCGAAGTGTACATCAAATATGGAATGCAGGTACATCCATCGGAAGAGTCCCAAGTAAAACAAAACGTCCATCATGGATTCCACTGCTAGCTACCATCCATTTTTGCTTATCAAGAATAAATGTATGTGTATTATTAATTTGGATTATTTTTCGAATCTAGAGAATCCCTGCGAATATCTTGTTCTTGCCTACCTTCTGTATTTAGCTTTGGTAACCATACTATCTTTTCTAGCCTTTCTCATACGTGTCATTATGTAGGTGCTCAAAATATTAAATGCAGTTTTTCTCTATATTTCATGTTCGTTTTATTTAGTATATATATGTTACTCCATAATCGAATCAGATACATAGTTTGATTCATAGCATTAGTGATCAATCATACATAACCCTCATCTATGGATTAAGATGTTTTCCTTATTCTTAACAGTAGTATTAAAGTGAACGTAGTTAATCTGATAGGACTGAACGAGGTCTAGATAAGTTTCACCAAGTTCAAATGCTAACTTTACTTCATTCCACAATATTGCCAACTAGCGTTTTGACCTGTAATAAACTATATGGACTACCACATATGTAGTTGTTATTCACTCGAATCAAAATAGTCTACAGTGTTGCATTCACATACATCTTATCCTGTTAGATTATTATTATAAAATACATAATTCTGGGAAATATTTCAATATTCTTTTTAAAATTTAAATCAAAACAAATTCCAATCACGTAGCTCATTACTCAGATCTTCTGATTGTTTCTTGTGTGAGATCTTTCAATAAATGTAAAACTATGGTAAATTCACTGTCATGGACAGTCAGAAATCAGCAAAATTGATTCTTTTCATATCGCGATTTTAACAATCAAAATGTGTCAACAAACTTAAACCCCTAAACCACCCAGAATAAACAAAGTCAAGTAATCTGACACTAATCCAGTTACCTAAGTTTTAGGGATTAGATAATTATATATGACTTTGATATCTTTTTGTGACTTAATGCTTCACCAAAACATGTTACAATCGATCTATGCATTTTGAATATCACTAAGCTAAACATGCTTTGAGAACACCAAGGCCATCTATAAACCTGTAGATATTATCTATTTTCTGTACCTGGGACCAACCTCGGTTTTAGAGCTTCTTTTTTGATACTATCCGGCTGTCATTTTGTGTTTTAGGTTAAAGTGTAGGAGATTCTTGTTGAATGAGTAGCGGTTAGAAACTCAATATCGAGTGTATGAGTACCCGAAATATCAGTTTCCTAGGTTTTGTTCTTAGTTATTCAGAAATAAGCTTTTAGATCTAAATGTACTATACATGTTTTTCATTGTCTCATATTTCTTCATAGACGGGTACTTTAACAGAAGATGGTTTGGATATGTGGGGTATTATTCCCTATGAAGATGGTTTATTTGGAGATCCGGAGTTAGAACCATCAGAGTTGAATAATGGTCCTTTAATGGAATGTTTAGCGACTTGTCACTCATTGACATTGATTGAAGGAGTTCTGGCTGGAGATCCTCTGGACTTAAAGATGTTCCAGTCAACTAAATGGGTAAGGATTGTAAATGGTTCTAGTTTTTTTCCGCTCACAATTTTTACTTTTCTGAAACCTAAATGTCGTAGTTACTTTGAGGTTATTGTCAGACTCGTACATTATAACATGTGAATTAACCGACTAGATATTTTTGGTACAGGTAAGAAGGTTGTGATAGTGCATTTCCGCTGACAGAATGAGGGTTTGGGAAAAGATTGGCTTCGACCGTAGTTAACTGTGACCCCATCGATGGCTTCAGCTATCTTTTGAGTGTTTACTACTTATTGACAGCTAGGACGTCATTCAAAGTTAGTAAGCCTAGAAATTTTTTGAAGCAAAGAGATTCAACAACTTTGACTTGTTAAGCATTGTGGTCAGTCAGTCAGTCACAACGTAGAACTTCGTAGTGACTGACTGACTGACCACAATGCTTAACGAGTCAAAGTTGTTGAATCTCTTTGCTTCAAAGCATTGTGGTAGATTCACATACAACCGAATGATCCTCAAACTGTATGAGATTCAATTTCTGGATTTTATTTTTGACAGCTATCAACAACAGTCAAGGGCGGCCTGCTTGAATCCCTGGGCTACCTGTTTCTGCCATCTAAATATTTCAACAAGTTATCTGGGTTTTTTAAAAATTGGTTTTAACCTATCATTATGTCTCTTGATCGCATAACCTATACAGGCGCGTTTATGAAAAGCTTACGTCCTTTCGCTGCAAAAATTACAAACAAGTACAATAAGAGACATTGTGGTGTTTGGCAATATGCTTTAGAGAGAATAAACATTAATCAAATGTCGATTTCCGAGCTGCTTAACTCTAACTGTCGATCTCTAATTAACAAGGTGGACTATCTCCAATTTCTGCTAAGTCAAAACATGTATCATAATTGTGGTGTCATCACAATTCAAGAATCTTGGTTGACTGACTTACAGGATGATTGCCTAGTATCATTACGTGATCTTAATATCTATCGTCAGGATCGATCAAACAATAAAAACACTTGTGGTGGCGCAGTAGCTACTGGGTTTTTTTGTTTTTTGTTTTTTTTTGGTAAAAAACTTGTTGAAATAACTCGTGCTGAGAATTCTATATTGTACCAGATTATAATATTGAATAAAGCCATTGATTATTAAAAAAAAAATTATATGTAGATAAGATGCAAATCTAGGTAACATTGAGGCATATTTTCTAAAATATCACGAAAGCTTGTTTAAAGGATGTACTTATACAACAACACGTTTATTAACGTAAACAAATTCATTGTCGATTTTTTGTTTTTGTCAGGAACTCATTGAAGAAGCTGCTGATCACTGTAAATTTGAAATGGCTGTCCCTGCTATCGTACGTCCACCTAGTAAAACCAGATTGAAGGGAAAGACTTCTGAAAAATTTAATGATGATGTAAGTTATGTTGTATAGATAGGTTTGTGTCTTTACATTACAGTTTCTTATACACCTGATAAAGAATGCCGACTATTTCAACCTGAGAGAGTCGATGTTTGTTCTGATGATAAAATGTGGAGTAGTGTTGACTATTGTGCTGGACATAGCAACTGCTCTGGTCCTTGTTGTACCATTAATGACAGTTTATCCTATATTGTTATTTTATTAAAAAAATGAAACCTGTCCTACTGAACTGTCTTGTCCTTTGTTATCAATTCATTGTGGGCTTACGTCAATAATTCAGTTTCTCGATACACCATCACTCTGTAGTAAGTTTTTGGAATTGCTCAAACTAAACGAGACTTGCACTCATGCTAGGAAAATTAACTGTGAATATTCTTCCTGTAGTTAGGTCCCAAACCATTCAGATTAAGAAGGTTTGAATGTGGAATACTTTACTCTTCTTTGCAACGAGATTGTAATGAATTCCTAGAATCGTTGTTTATGTTACTGGGAAACACCAGAGAGCTCAGTGTAAACTAGATTCATAAAACTTCATGAGAGACTGTTGGGATGCGTACAAACTAAATGTTTAAGCACAGAAAATCTGTTAATTCCGATTCGTACGATATAACTTATGAAAAAGTAACGGTACTCAGTTACGTAATTCTTTTTTGAGGAGAGATGTCGACGATAACTATTTTCACAGTCGTTCGTTTAACTAAATACTTATAAAACCACCTACATTTACGTCCCTATATCAGCATACATACATGTGGCACTATAGTGGTTTACAAAGTCGAAATATCATTGGTTTGTTTTTGGATAATCTACACCCTAGATAAATTGTCGTTTTATCAATTTATAGAGATGTACTTGATAAACACATCTGTAGCTGTAAGTAAAAGACCAATATGGGGCTTAACTTCTGCAGCGTTGTAGAAGCCTACACATCTATTAAAAAAGATTTCCAATCGTGTTTTATTTCAGTATGTCAGGCTCTAAGTGAGCGTCGATTGTGGCTACTAAGGTATCTGGTTTGACATAGTTTGCCTAGGTATTGACAAAATAGTCGTTTATACGGTCTCATGGTTTAGCTCTTTAGTGATCAAACTTATTTTCAAGTACTGTTGTTATGTTTGGGCATCCTAAATCTTATTCGAGTTGGATATCATGATCACTACTTGCCCTTATAGACATATGGTATCAAACCACCTAACGTAATGCTAAAACACAGCGAATATCTAAATGCAACGCGGTTGATTTTGGTAAACAATATTTAAAATGTTCGGAAAGCATACATGAATAGATAGCTTATTTTAATAGATTGTAATATTTTTAAAGTTTGAGCTTGTATGTCAGTTGAGTAAATTACGATTTCCTTTTCTGTGTTTTATAAAAATGCTTTTCATTGAAATCGAAAATCCTGATTTCACACATTTGTAGGATATTCCATATGAAGTGGGTATTTTACGTCAATTTCCATTCAGTTCTTCATTACAACGTATGTCTGTGATTACTCGTGCTCTCAATCAAAATCATTTCAATATCTATACTAAAGGTGCACCTGAAACTATTGAATTATTGTGCAGATGTGATACTAGTAAGTAAAATGTGAAGATTATCAAGAATGATTGTTATTAGTATTATTTAATGTTAATACAATCGGTCAGTTATATGCAACGTTAACCCTATCACAAATATTTATCAACTCAAGTTTCCACACCGTTTTAACACTGAGACGAAATGATAAATATGTTTGCCAAGGTGGTATTAATATTATATACAGTAAGATGATTCAGTGTGTACAATGTGATTTAAGAAAGTTTCTTGAATTCGTGTGACAAAAAGTATTTAATCGTTTTAAAACTGAAGATCAAAAGACAATTAATAAAAATTTGAGTGTATGTTGACCTTTATAAGCTATTTGGAGCCATTTCACCTAACACCTTTAACCACTGATTGTGTCGACCTACTAACATGTCCGAAACCATCAGTCAATAACTTCTTGGACTAATCGTTTTTATCGATTTGACAGTCCCTGGTTACACACTACCCAATATCTCACATCGAATTTGGGGGTTGTTGGACAGCTTGAGATGTGTTACAGCTGTCTTAATGGATAAGAGTTCACACTTTCATCAACTGGTTTTTTAAAATATCTTTCGTTGGTTACACAATACGTAACTATAGCATCGTTCACTCGGCTGTCATAAAATAAATAAACCATGATTGGAAGACATCTATAACCAAATACTAGTAACCTGTAGATATTTTCTTTGAAAGATTACGCTTCATAGTCGTTAAATGGTGCGAAACGAGCCAGTGCTCACTATGCTCTTTTTTCTGAAAGACTGATCTATCACTTACGTCACAATTGACACTTGGTGATAAAAGCCAACTGACTTCTTTTATTCTGTTCTTAAATTTCGTTAGACACCAACCCACAGGATAGATGATATCCCTCGATAAATGAAATCGTTGGGGCACTCTACGACCTGACTGTTTGTGATCAGACTAAAAATTGATACAGGTCGGTGCTGAAGCAAAATATTTATATGTTAATGTAGAAAAACTCATCTTAAACATACTGCCATTGTTGCTCTAGATTATCATACTACTGTGTATTTTTTTGAAGTCTTCACCAAACAGAACTATATTTTCTGCATGGTCTAATTCCGTATGTTGGTTTCATGTTAGGAGGTCGATCCCTAAATTTTTAGATGAATTTGTAAATCTGGGTGGATATCTATGACGGCACTAAGCGAAAGTTGGGATAATGGAAAATTCTGGCCTGCACAACTGGGTGTTTGTGATTCTGATGACAGTTCATCATTAAATAAATCTCGACCAACAGTGTTCATGTAAAGAACATTCACAAGAATAATATACTTATTTGGCACACTTTTTCTTTACAATAAACATCTGATAAATCTAATTGAACACTTGGTTCGGCTTCCTATGCTCTTCTAGTAACCCCTAGGCTGTGTATACGGCAACTTGAACACGAGAGAATAGGCGCAAAATATGGAAAGACCACTCTACTCCAAGGTTTTTTTATGTGCAGATAATCTAGTGCATTTATAGCATTTCAGATGGCCTTGGGGTGGAAAGTTCTGGAATACTCCTAAACACAGTAGCAGGATAGGTAATCATCCAATCAGAAAAGTGACAAGTGACTCTCCCCCTACTAAATCCTTCTGGTAAAACTTTTGTTGAATGCTTTTTGGATAAAATGTTTCCCAGCGTTTTCAGGACCTCTTTTGACTTTTTTCGATGAATTTCCTTGTCTCATCAACAACCTTACCACAAAATCTCTTAGTCAATGGAGTCGGATTTTATACCCAAACTAAGAAACGCAATTGTTAGGTGTTAGTATTAATGCCTATGTTCTAGAACCAGATAAAGAGTGATTATTTGATTCGAACATTCACACCCACGTAAGAAACCAGTCTGATTTTTCCGCTTTTGTTGCTGAAGAGCCTTAGTTATGAATTGAATAATTATTGTGGGTTTCATTTTAAATACTATAAATTCTCGACATTACATTAATGTGTTGGTGTTTCTTGATAATTTCTTTTAACCAAGTATTAGTAGACTGGGTTAGTATATATGATGTTAAGATTTTACCTTATTTAATCTATTTAAATGGAGGTCATTCATAACGTGTAAATTAATGTAATTATTACAACTATGTGATATATTAAGCAAAGATGAATAGTGACTAGCAGTGGAATCCAGGACGCGCGTTTCGTCCTATTTGGGACTCGTCAGCTGGATGTACCTGCATCTCGGAGTTGATGTTCACTCTGGGACTCCAACCCAGTACCCTCGCTTCAAACGCCATCGCGTTATCCACTCGGCCACTGAGTCCTGATAGCCACTTGCTTTGCAATGGGGTGAAGTTTAAATTCACTTGGTGTTGTTTGTTTGAATCTTCCCATCGATGTGTTAGGACTGCAACTGGTCAGTCTATTAGCGCAATACAAGTTAGGGCTTGCATCGTTATGTGGTTTGGTGATTTCCGAAATGTATGTCCTATCCACTTCCAATTTATTTTCCTTATTTTCTTTTCATGTGAAAGCTGGTTTGTTCTCTCCCACAGTAGGCTGCTGCTGATGGTATTCGGTCAACGAACACTCAGTATCTTCTGTAGACAATTGCTTATAAGAACTTACACCTTTTAAATGAAGGTTGTAATAGTTCTCCAAGTTTCAGCTCCATACAGTAGAACTGTGTTGACGTTCGTATTGAAGATTGTCACTTTGATATTGGTTAAGGGTTGTTTTGGGTTCCATATGTTCTTCAACTGTAGGAATTCTGTTCTTGATTTGCCGATCCTTGCCTTTACGTCTGTATCAGATCCACATTGTTCATCGATGATGCTTCCCAGGTACGTGAAAGATTTCACATCTTCCAGAGTTTCTCCATCAAGTGTGATTGATTTGGTGTTCTCCGTGTTGTATTTGAGGATCATGCTTTTTCCTTTGTGTATTTTGAGGCCTACTGCTGCAGAGGCTGCCGCTACATTAGTTGTCTTCATTTTCATTTGTTCGTATGTATGAGATAGAAAGGTCGGATCATGTGCGAAGCCCGGATCGTTAAGTTGCATTCAAGCTGTCCATTGAATGTCGTGCGTTACTGGTGGTATGGAGGTCTTCATAATCCAGTCAGCCACCAGAAGAAAGTGGAAGTGCGAGAGTAGACAGTCTTGTCTGACACCGGCCCTCACTTCGAAAGCATCTGTGAGCTGTCCTCCATACACGAATTTGCGGTGTAGTCCGTCGTGTGAATTTCGGATGATATTGAAGATGTTCTCAAGTACACCATAGTTCATTTATTTGAAATACATAAATATTAGTACAGGGAAAAGAAATATGGAACGCTTCATGATTTTGCTTGTCATCCTTGCGCAGGGGTCATGCTAATCTTCTCTGTATCTTTCCAATTTTAGTATATGTACCGCCGAAGCGAGTACACCATAGTGTCGTGGAAGATTATATAAAGTCCTCCTATTCACACTGTCAAACGCTTTCTCATAGTCAAGGAAGTTGATGTAAAGTGATGAGTTCTTTTCAACTGATTGTTCAACGATGATCCGTAGTGTAGCGATTTGGTGTCTGTATGACTGATTCTTACGGAATCTGGTCTATCGATCTCGAAGTTAGACGTCTAATGAGTCTCTCATCTGATCGGTAATTCACTGCTCTCTCCAATTGGTGGCATCGCCACTTTATATATTAACAGGGCATTCAACCGAGTACAAGTTATAACACATTAACCTTCGAAGTTTTTTAGTGATGCAAGTATCATCTATCTGGTACTCTGCAGTGCGATCTGGTCAGACCCATGTAGTTTTCTGTATGTGTTTGTGTGAGAATATTGTGCTACTTATAACCATTTTCTTTCACTTAATCAGTCCATGCCGTTTCATGATATATTTATATCTGGTGTTGTCTATTCACACTTTAGCGTTTAGATCTCCCATCAAGATAGTCAGTTTTGTTCGTAAACTCTTCGCTGTGATCAATTGCAGCTTCTCGTAGGACTGATCTTTATCGTCGCTATTGCTATCAATGATGGAGGCATAAAATTCATCGTAGTTCGCTCCTTTTTTGTTTTGTGGGTTGATTTGGTGGTCCTGGATTTATGAGATTCTTATCCTATGAGTTCATCTTCGATCAAAGCGAATCCCTGAGAGTGTGTAGCATCTTCTTAAACGGAGTATAGCATCATTCCCCTCGTATCTAGCCTTTGTTGTCCAGCTTGGGTCCAACGGGTTTTCCTGATTCCGAGTACTGCCAATTTGTATCGCCTCATTTCCGTTGCTATTTGACTGGTTTTCCAGATCTATCACATTGTCCGGACGTTCCATGTACATACAAATGTTGTTTCTGTGGTTGTCAGGAGTGGCATCGGCCTCGTGACTTCTGAAAACTCTCGGCTTTCATCTTGAAGCGTTATAAATCTTCCTTGAACTCGGAGTACAGAGTTTAAATTGTTTTAATTATTTTTTCGGATTAGAGTTTGTTTTTAGTTAGGTTTTTTAGGGGATGGGGTTGCTGACTCCGTGCTCAATCCTCCTCTTTTGTTTGGGCATAGGACCGGCAGTATTTCTGGAATAGCTACAGGCGGATTTGGAAGTTATCTACAAACTAAAAATTTAGTTGAAAAGGCTTAATGGTATTTTTAACTATTAGTTACTCTAATTTCTGTTTTTGATGCTTTACTAATCATCATCGTTGAAATACTCCTATTATCAATCCAATTCACTGAAGGTTTTATGAAAGGTAAGAGACTAAACACGTTCATCTCTCTTTCGCGTACTATTTATAAATGATCTTTACGTCAGTTACATCGATATGATGTGTTTAAAAAAACCCTAATTAAGAGTAGGACTGCTATGTATAATCCTCTTCTATGTGATTCAGAAAACCCGACACAACATTAGAAAAGAACTACAACCCAATTTATAGCTATCTTCAGCATTTTTATAATCTTGTATCTAACAATTGAGAAGACAAATGAAAAAGTTTACTGCCACTTCGATTAATAATGCACATTGTATGATATGTATAAATATCTAGTAGAGTTTAAGAGGTC